GGAACCAATTCTGAGATGGAGGGCCATTTGCCTTTCAGCCTAAGGAGGGACCGCAGGGCTTGGGCAGACTCTGCAGATGTTTGGCTCAGAAATGCTGTTCTGTGTTTTGCTGGAAACGTGTGCTGTGCCAGGTGATAAAGAGGAGGGAAATCATAATGATAGAGACTAAACAAATAGCGGGCTTCGTGGTTCTGTGGAAAGGAGAGAAAATTACACGTTAGGGAGTGCCTCTTCCTGTGCGTGTCACTTACGCTTAGGGGACTATATTTACATGATATATGGAAATCTCTCCCATATTACTTACTGTCTCTGTTGTCCAAGGAAAGGTATAAGATGACCAGTGTGGCAGCAAAAGTGAGTTCATGTTAAAGCTGAGGCCTGTCACCAGAGCCCTTGGGGACACCACTTCTGTGTCTGTCCTTTTCCACCATCAGCTCTAGTATTCTGCCATGGAAGCCTGCAGAAGGTAGGAGGGCCACTGACGGCCCTTCTTTCTGTGATGGGTTTTGGAAAGTGCTTTGCTTACACTTATGTTACCTGTCATTTTCATGTTGATGCAAGTACAAGGGCACTCTCCAAGAGACCAGAAACACACAGAGTATGGGACAGGATGGTGGCACGGATCACACCAGCATCACCATCCTGTTTCCCACGGGTAGCTGCAGTGAGTCTTGGGCCCTGTAGGGTGAGCTGCAAGCCAAGATCTGTGGCCACGTGAGGCTGTTCCTACTGAATGAGCATTCAGATATTCTTGGGTCATTTTGGGAAGCAGTTTTCCTCCAAGACTTTTTCCGTGTTGTATAAGATTTCAGCTGCTGAGTATGAGCGGCAGTATTTGGGACTCCCTCCTCTAGGATGGAAAAAGCCCAGACTCCACACTTGCTCAGTCTCTTCCCAGTGACACACCACTGCCTGTGCTGGTTTCCACATTGCCCGTGGTGATCTTACTTGACGCTGAAGAAAATTCTGTTCTCTAGTCTGCTATTCTAAGTCATAGAGCACTTAAAGAATTCCCTTTTATTTCCCAAGGTTGAGTTTTGCAGAAGCTCAGTGAATTCAGTAATGCCTGAAAAAGTGTCCAGTAAAAACAAATGCCCTGTGCTGTGAGCAGTCACTGCCTTGTTTCCACCTTTCTGTCCCCTGCTGTTTGAATGGAAAGTTACTAATTACAGTGATCAATAATCTCTGTTAATTGCTACTATGTGATAGGCATTGTTCTAAGCACTTCATTTGCATATTACCTTATTAAATTTGTATAGCACTTAAGAGCTAGGCTCTGTTAAGATCCCATTTTATTAGAGATAAGGGCAAAATAGTTTCTGCCTGGTAGCAAGGGGGTGGGGGGAGAGAGGAAGGAGGCGGGGTAGGCAAGGGAGGGGGCAGAGGGAAGGGAGAAGAAATGACCCAAACATTGTATGCACATATGAATAAAAGAAAAATAAAAGATCCCATTTTATAGCCAAGGGAATTGGTGCTCAGAGAGGATCAGTAACTTGCTCAAGGTCACTCAGGTTTGGAACCGGGATCAGAACCCAAGACCTGACTCTTGAGAGTACAGTCTAGAAATCCAGAAGCCCAGGCTGCCACCCTGCATTCTCTACAGTTGAGTGCATAGGCTGGGAACTTTCGTTTAACCTTTCGTCCATTCTGCAGGGAACGTCATGTTACCACATCTTGTCGTTTGCAAAGGCAGAAAACTGTTGGTTATTATCTGGTAAGTGGCTGAGTTGGGGTTTGAACTCAGATCTGCCTAGCCCCAGAGCTTGTCCATGGCAACTTTTCAGGGATACCACTCCTTTCATTGGAATGGAAGTTGCTGGAAATCCTATCTGATGCTCTTCTTGCCCCTTACATCACTAAGATGCATACATAGAGTGCTGTGTACATTGAAGGGGCTGTGTATACGTACATGGGGAGATGGATGAGAAAGTGTTGCTTTGTTCTGGCCAGGACAATTTCTGCAATCTTGGGCTATAGAAGGGGTTTGTAGGCTTCTGGGATCCTCCAGGACTGTTGTGATTTTCATTTTCTGTTCTGTGCTGACCACCCTTATCAGGTGATTGTGAGACTGCAAGTGAGGTTTGTGGGACGAAGCATTGCTACACATAGGGAGAGTGCTGTTTTGCCATCGGTTTTAGAAGTGTACAGGTTAGGTAGGACTGGCCTCTCAGGCCACTTGTTTCCACAGAATTCAAGTCCATATACCTGACTAAGCACTCAGTGAGAAGGAACTCTGGGAACAGCCAGATGCCTGACATGCTGTGTGCTTTGAAGGGATTTACGCATATAGGGGGAGACAGAGGTGGCTGTTCTATGCCTTGTAGTGTACTGCAGGGCTAGAGGAATCGGGGGCTTCTGTGAACTGGTTCATTTTTATCTGGGAGTCTGGATAGATGAGTTGGGTTTATCATATTAGCAGTGGGGGATGACACAAGGAAAGATGGATTCTAGTCAGGAAATTCATGAAGTAGCATCGGTTGGATTTATATCTTTGGGGAAAGGCTCTGTTTGTGGGTGGGGCCAAAATGATGCAGTCAGGATCACCCTGGAAGGTCCCGCAGGACGTCACGGGTCCAGACATCACCCTTTACATAGTTGAGCTGGCAGAGTGGCTCAGGAAGTAGAGTACCTGCCTAGCAAGTGTGAGGCCCTGAGTTCAAACCCCAGGACCACAAACAAACAAAAAACCTTTACATAGTTGAGGTCAGGGAAGGAGATTGGATGGTGTTCAGGGACTGTGTAGAACGACAAGCACAGATGTCTCAGGATGGTTCATGACGATGAGCTGTTCCTCCAGGAGACACACAGCAGGGCTGAGGGCCTGAGGTGTGATGGGCATGGCACTCCTGACCTGCACAGTCCAGGGCACCTTTTTCTGAGCGCACTGGCCTTAGGTGCCTGTGCCGTGGGGTGCTATCTGTCATGCTTTCATCCTCCTGTGGGCCAGTGCATGCAGCTGATTAGTGTAAAGCAGATATTCATGGGCACATCACCACGGAGCAGGGACAGGTGGCTGACAGGGAGGCCTGGTACATAGAGCCCAGTTCCCTTGAGGAAGATGTTTTGCCTCTTCCAACCCCACGTGGTGGTGGTGAGTGTCCTCTCCCTTTGCACCCATGTGAGGTTCAGGCCAGCCAAGACCTGCAGTGAGGATGAAGTCCTGAAAGAGCATTCAGAATTCAAACAGGCCTGGGGGTAAGGGGCAGCTCTGGATCTGTGTCCACAGTGCCTGGCTGCTGCCCGCACTGGGTTCCAGAAGATGACAGAGATAGAAGATGGCATCTCTGGATGTCATCCAGAGATGACAGAATATCTCCAGAGAGGTATTATCCTGCCTGTCTTTAATAATGTATCAAGTCTGCTTTTTTTCATGGCCATAGTGTTCTGGAAATACATTCTTGATTTTTTTTCCCTCTCAGGTTTATCAGTGTTTTCAGTTAAAATCCTGACTCTCAGTAGCTTTATGATGAGTTCTTTTGCATTGCTAATGTTTCCTGTTGCAGCCTATAAGAGGCCCTGCCTTGACCTAGCAACACCCCATCTCATCTCTCCTCTGATCCTTGTGGTCCCCAGGGAGGCAGGCCCCAGGTCTCCTGGTGCCTGAGAGAAGCTCACGGGTGAGACACGGCTCCAGTGTCATCATGTTGATGACCCTCGTTACTAGCTGAGGTCAGAGTGAAAAGTCCCAACTTAATTGCAGGCCCGTGGGATGTGCACTATTGGTCTCCTCCGAGAATCCTCCTCCCTGAGGCCAACTGGGAGCCTGGCTCTTTCCTTGGTAAGGCACTTGAACTGAATAGGTGCTCAGTAGATTTTGAATGAATGAATGAATGTATGGGCTCTGGACCATCATAACCCCGGGTAGAACCTGGCCCAGGAGGGCAGTACACTGTCTTGTTCTAATGTCTGCCCTTCTCCTAGGGGCCTCCTTTCTGTTTCTTGAGGTGGCTTCACTCTGCCACAGGCTTATCAGCCTGCTTTTTCTTTTTAGCCTTGCCCCCTCCTTCTGATCTTTTGTAAGACCTTATCTGGAAATGTACTTTCTACCTATTTTTTTGTATTATGAAAAACTTTAATATTAAGAAAAGTCGAAAGGATTATATGTGGCTTTGCTTCCTAACACAGTTCTGGGAACTGCACCTCATCATCTGGAGCCACATGGATCAGTGGGCTTCAAAGTGCTTGGTTCTGGACATAGCACACACTCTTGGCCATAGCCTTGTGCTGCTGGATGTGTGATTTTTGGCTCTGTGCTTCCTGAAGAGGGAAATAAAGTTCACAGGGTCTATCGAAGGAAAGGAAGCAAACAACACTGGTTCTCCAGGAGAAAGTGAGAAATTCCTGATGTTGAGATCTGAGTGGTCTGGCAGTGTCTTTAATAAGTGCACAGTGACAACAGCTATGTTTGATGTGGATGGAAAATTTGAATACATATTTAATTTAAAGGTGTGGTTTTTTACTCATGAATGCTTTCCTGTGTTGAAGATTTCAGAAGTGTAGCTTCTATGAGTAATTATGGAATCCATATTGAAGACACCCTCCTACAGTGTCCCCTGTATCCTAATTATAGAAGGCAGTATGGGAAATCCAGATATTCTATTAAACTCAAGTACCCATTTCTATGTGTTCATGGAGCCACACGTCACTTCATCTGCTGTCTATGTTGATAAACAGCTGTGGTGGGGAATAAAGCATTGTTCAGAACAGATGTTTGGGAGCAGAGACTTGCAAGGACACTTAGAAATGCAAGCTGAGTTATGATCACCAAAGAGACACCCCCATGTTTATTCTAATCCCACCCTGACTCTGTGTTGTGTGGCTGATGAAAGTGATTGGCTGGGCCCATTGGATCTCTTAGGATGAACAGGAATTATTTTTTCCAGGGAACTGGGAACTTACCTAGATGAGCCATTCTTAAGGGCATATGATCCAGAGAGGCAAGCGGACTGTGTAACAGGCAAGACCTACCATTTGACTTTGACTTTGCTTTCTTCCCTCAGGTGAACTGCGCCAAGCCATCGTGGCCATGATGAATAGGAAGGATGAGCTGGAAGAAGAAAACAGGTACGATCTTCAGGACGGAGGGACAGTCTCTTCTCTGCCATTTTACCTCTGGGACAGAGAGAGCATATAAAGTATGGGGGAAATTTTACTTCATTGGCAAAATGGTGACTGGTTATCTTTTTGTGTCTGGGATGTGCTGCTTTAGTAGTTTGTTGTGGCTTGCACCTAAATGAAGAATAAGGAACTAAAAAGAACGGCATCACCTTCAACAGACTTAGAATTTGCGAGAGCAGTCTTTAATTCTTTTTTCAAACAGCCTTTATGGAGATAAGATTAACATATTGTAGAGTGCACCATTTGAGGTGCACCACTCAATGGTCTTAGCATATTCACAGGCGTGAACTACCGTCATCACCTCAATCCTTTTTAGAACATTTTTATCACCTTGAGAAGAAACTCCACACCCTCTAGCTCTCTGCCTTGCCCCACCAGCAGTTCTTTGAGTTGAGGGTGTGCCAAGCCCTTGTCCTTGCCTTCAAGTTTGCCCAAATCAGACAAACTTAGCACAGATGATAAGTGGATTCTTTACTTGGCCAAAAGCCCAATTGTAGACACTGAGAAGATGGAGGATTTTACCAGTCTTTTCTTCCCTGTTGAAAGTAATGCTAGCCACCACCTGGTATTGGCTATGTTGCTGCCATGTGACTGTCTGCCATTGAGCTTCTCTGCATGGTGCCTTTCTTGACTGGTGTGGTCAGTAGAGGGCTAGCCTGTGATGCTCCGCTAAGTGTCTGTGAGCTTAATGAGGCAACCTGACCAGGGAGGCAGTGGTGCACATTTGCTTGGGTACACATGTGTATGAGTTCCTGTCACTCTCTTATTCCTTTACTCAGAGCTGAAATTAAGGTCCACGGTGACATCCAATCACAGTTCTCTTTTAGACCTTATTTTAGGTCCCACTTGACAAGCTTCTTCCTCTTCCTTTATGGCAGCATATAAAAGCAAATAAGCATAATTTCCAAAACAAAAGAGGATGTTTTTAAAAGGAATCTTTAGACAGCACCATTTTCCAAGTAAAATAAACTTTGAACAAAGGGCTGTAGCCACCGCAGGGTTCTTTTTCTTGTTCCAGCTGGAGCCATTGTCTTGGAAGAAGCCATATACGATTGGTCTTATCTTGTGAAGAACAGTCACTGTTGGTTTCTCCTCTTTTCCAGAGAAGGAAAAAGAAACATAGCATGTTTGTCTCAGGGGCCCAAAGCCCCAGGAGAGCAATCTTCTCAAAGCTCCCAAGGAGCACAGGTCTTGGAGAGTTGGGTGAATCACAGGGGTGGAAGTTGGGCCAAACACTTGTTCACATTCTGATGTTGCAGGGCAAGTATGTTGACTTAGTATGTTGCTGCACAGTCAGTCACTGTTTTCTAGAAAGAGCCATTCAAGGGCAGTGAAGTAAGGTCAGTCAAACCATGTCGGACCCATTTCTAGAAGAGCTTCTGTTCTCTTCCCATTTTGAATACTGGGAATGATGGATATGCAAATAAGTATGCTTTGAAATATGTTGAAAGTTGGCTGTGCTGATCTAACCACATAGCTATGGACAATGCCATGTAAGCTGGTTTATCCTGGAGATGGCCGTGAAACATGGGCTCAGCATATGTTTTGTGCGAAGCAGTGGAAGTAAGGCTTGACATGTATTTTCATGCTGCAGATTATTCTTTTGGTCTCTTCTGACATCCTTTCCTTTGCTAAATCTCTTGCTTGATGTGGCTGTGACAGAATGTTTCAGTTTAACCTTTGAATGGGACATCTTTAAAGGTGTTTGCCTGGGATTTGCTCACTCCTTGTTGCCCCTTGATCTAAGCTGTCAGATGGCGGCCTGCTCACAGGTGAGCAAGGACATGGAACCTGGCTGCAGATGACAACCCCCGGCTTGTCTTAATTATCACTCATAGGCTCTTGGCAGTGTTTGCTGTCAAGTCAGTTTATTTGAGATGGACTTAAGTTGTGGTCTGGACAGAGCCTTGTGCATTGTGACTGGGTTGGGACTTGACTGTGTTCTGGACTGGACAGACTCTGGCTGATAGCATCTCAACAGTTGGGACCTTTCTTCCCAGGTCACTGCGGAATCTGCTTGACGGTGAGATGGAGCACTCAGCTGCACTGCGGCAAGAAGTTGACACCTTGAAAAGGAAGGTGGCTGAGCAGGAGGAGCGGCATGCCACGAAGGTTCAGGCATTGGCCAGGTAGGGGCAAGCAAGGGATGGAGAGGTGAGCACATGAAGGCTTTGTTCAAACCCAAACACACCAGTCACCTACATTTTAAAATTATTATTATTATTTTTGGCATTTCTGAGGTTTGAACACAGGCCTTCAAGCTTGCTAGGCAGGTGCTTTACCACTTGAGCCATGCCCCCAGTCCCGACACTTTTTAATTAAAAGCATCAAAGATAGTGATAAAATGAAATAACATTTATATATTTAATTTAACTTATTTCATTGAGTAATGATATATATATATATATAAATAATATATTTATATATAAATGATATATAAGTGATATATATAAATGATATATAAATGAAAGTTAAATGATGCATGTCCTGTCTTGTCCCAGCTCTCCAGTTTGCTCCCTGGATCCAATCAGTGTTCCCAATTCCAGAGATACTCCATGTACACACAAACAGATAGGTGTGAATATACTTTTTCCTTTCCCTCCCTGCCACACCATTCCCTTTATCTCTGACAGAGGGTTTTGTGCTGGGGTATATGGGCCTGACACCTTCTTCTTCTTTTTTTTTTTTTGACAGTAGTGGGGTTTGAACTCAGGGTCCTGTGCTTGCTAGGTAGGTGCTCTACCACTTCAGTCATACTCCCAGCTTTTTTGTTTTGTTTAATTCTGAGAGAGGGTCTTGCTTTTTGTGCTTGGGCTGACTTGGACCACGATACTGCTATTTACTCTCACAGGTGGGATGACAGGTGTGCCACCTTGCACAGCTGTTGGTTGAGGTGAGGTCTTATGAACTTTTTGCCCAGGCTGGTCTCACACCTCTGTCTTCCTGATCTCTGTCTTCTAAGTCACTAGGATCTTAGGTTTGAGCCACCTCATCTGGCCCACCATATTCTTTTTAGTAGCTCCTGATTGTCATTGTCTGACTGCCTCAGAATTTGTTTAACCAGTCCTCCAATAGCTGGGCTTTGAGGATGTTTCCAGTCTTTCGCTAGTATTAATAATGCCACAGCAAATAACCTGTGTCTGTATTTTGTTCCTACATGAGTGTACTTGTTGGAAGAATTTGGGAGGTGGACTCGGTAGGTCAAGGTGTGGAGCATTTGTAGGTTGGATAGTGATCATTTGCCCTGCATAGATGCTGAGCCATGGATGACTTCAGCATGTGTGGGACAGTGCTGCTCCCTGGCCATGCTCACAAGGGTAGGTCCCAGTTTTTGTGTCTGATAATTATCACAAGAGAAAGGTGAGGCTGGCAGTATATTTTTCATTTGCATTTCTCTAATTACAAGTATGATTGAGCCTATTTTTACTTAAGAGCCATTTTCCTGTGATGTTATTTGTATCTTATTAAAGAAAAACTGTAGTGTACCAAAAAGTCCAACTCTCATGAAACGTGCAGTGCTTTTCTGAATTTGTTCATATGTGAACATACTTTTATATACTGCACTTATAATCCATAGAGCGTCATTTTCAGGCTACTTCTCCACTTACTACGAAAACAGTTTTGATGTTAACCATTTTGATATGCTGGGTGTGGTATGCATGATATATAATGCACAATATTAAATTAACCAATTCATGTGGTCAGTTTTACATTTGGGGTTTCCAGTTTTCTTCCTTTGTTTTTGATGAGATAAACAGCTTATTGGTGGTTCTTTAGAATGGCTTTTAAATAAGGTCAGGAGAGAGGTATGTCCGGTGATGTTGCCAGGCCCTTGGAGTTGGGTGGATTCACAGTGGCAGCCTTGGCCACTCAGTGCTGAGAGAGGACATGAGTGGCATTCCTGCAGTTGTCATGCGTCTATAATGGAACACTGCCACCATGTCCTCCTGACCAAGTTCCATCCTGGGCTTCTCCCTTTCCTTCATATTCCAAGATGGCACCTCTAGAGCATCAGAGACAGTTATTACACTGATCATAGAGTAATAGGTGCCTAATCTGGTCATGCTCGAATTCTGTGTCATAATTGCATTTGTTGTTCACAATAAAGCCAAGTTTTCAGACACACTGTTCTGAGTCATTGGTAACAGACACGATTCTGTTCCCTGTCATTTTCCTGGCCTGTGTTAGGAGCCAGCTTTGCCTCGAGTCCATGCTCCATTACTTGCAATTGTGTGGGTTTGAGAGAGTTATTCAACCTGCCAGCATCCGCGTCCTCCTCTGTGAAATGAGAGAAAGGCCTTATCCATCCAGGCGGACTGAAAGAGGAAGAAGGACGTGAGGGTGCACAGGTGCCGGACAGTTTAAGCCACTGTGCAGGTGTTTTATAGGAAGTCTATTTTAGCATCTGATAATTCTAGGGAAAATTGTTTCCCACAAATTTCTTAACTAGACAGTTTTCTAGTCTGGATTCTCATCATTTAAACAGTGGACAGCTGAGAATTTAAGATGTGTGGAAGTTGGCAGTTTGCAGGTAGGAGGATATCTATGAAACATGAATATTCCACAGGAGAAATGGAAGAAAGCAAACAGAACAGCTGGCTATGTGAGTTTTCAGTTGCTGACTTGTTTCTGACAGAATTTACCTCTGCCAGTTGTCAGAAGTTTCTTCTGGCTTCTGACTGCAGGAGGAGCAGCTGTCCATGACGGTAGATAGTGGACCTGCTTAGACTATTGTAACTTGTGGACTGAGAGGGCTGTAGGTGATGGGGCACAGTCACAGTGGGGCAGTGAGGCCTGTGTGTGCTGGGTCTGCCCTGTTCTCAGGTCCATGAATGTTCAGGTGGCAGTTTTGATGATGTAGGTGGTTTAGCCTTAGTGGTTCATGGTGCAGCCTGGCATTGGAGATCATGACTCTCTTCCTTGCTGATTGCATATCCTTGGAAGAGCTACCTCTCTTTCACTTTTCCTAGTCATAAAACAGGGCTAATAAAACTACATCAGTGAGTTATCAGATGGATAAAATGTGAGACCATTTGTGGGACAATGAAGTGCTTAATAAATGTTAACTATCATTATTTTTCTTTAATATAATAGTTTTATTACTAAAAACCTTAACCTGAAGGTATATTTTAGCAGCAATGGTGCAGAAAGATCCAAGAGTGAGATTATTGTGAATTCAGAAAAGTGAAGTTTGTTTTCTGTCCATATTCTAATATTAATAGTGCATTTGTGTGTACATGTTTTATTGGTATCGAGTGTTTGGTTGCAAATCTGAAACACCACTGAGCAAATTTAGCATTTGAGAACACATTCATTTTGCTCAAAATGAATGCCTTTCCTTTCATCTATCTTGTGGTTCAACAAAGAGCAAGGTCATGTAACTAGCCTGGTGCTTTTGTGGCCCCAAGAAACTGAGTTTCTGATGGGAGATATTATAATTAGTGTTGTTATATTCCTTGGATTAATTTATTGCCTTGCTTCCTGCTGAATTAAGAAAATTGAAGCTATGAGACAGATGTTAAGAGAAAGAAGACACAATTTTACATGAGAAGTCTCTTTGAAGAGTTTTAGTCTTTTTTGTCCTGATGTAATAATGAACACCATGGGCTGAAAAATGTATAAGGAACAGAACAGAACTTGGATCATGGTTCTGAAACAGGGAAGTCCAAGATCAAGGGGCTGAGTCTGGTAAGGGCTTTTGCTGTGTCATAACATGGTGGAAGACATTGCAGGGGTGAGATAGTGTGTGAGAGAGAAGTGGGCGCCGAATTCGCTGTTATAACAAGCTCGGTCTCAAGATAATGACATTAAGCCATTGGTGAGGGCAGAGCCCTTCTGACCTAATCAACTCTGAAAGATCTCTCAACATTCTTGCTTTGGGGGATTAAGTTTTCAGCACATGAACTTTGGAGGACATATTCAGTTTTAGCAGACCATAAGTAAACACGGTTGTTGGATAATTGCAGGGACATTTTCTGTTTCTGCTTACTGTGTTAGTTTTCTCTCGCTGTGTAACAAATTATCTCCAAACTCAATCACTTGGAGCAGCCAATGTTTATAATCCTCCACAGTTTCTGTGAATTAGGAATCTGGGAATAGCTTTGCTGTGGGTCAGTGTGTTTTAGGAAGTGGCAGTCGAACTGCTGGCCAGAGTTGCCGTCATCAGAGAGAAGGCTTGACTAGGACTGGAAGGGCTTATGTTCACATGTGGCCATTGGCAGGAAGTGCTGTGTGAACCTGTTCTTAGCTGGCTCCACAGAGAGACAGCACACCCAAGATGAAAGCTACTGTGTTTGTATAACCTAATCTTAGAGCTGACACAGTCATTTCTGTTATATTCTGTGGTTGCAGAGATCACCTTGGTTCACTATAGGAGGGTAACATACAGGGTGTGACTAGCAGGAGGCAGGGGTCACTGGGGGCTTCAGCTTCTGGACCACAGAGTTCTCCAGAGAATTAGAACCAGTAGGATAATAAGGTATCAGCTCATATAGTCCTGGATTTTAAGAAGTCCCAATATCTGTTGTCTGTCAGCTGGAGACCCAGAAAAGTAAGTAGTAGAGTTTGAAGGCCTGAGAGCCAGAGGGCTGCTGTTGTAGATCCAGACTAAACCTGAAGGCCCAAGAAATGGGAGCACCTAGGGCTGGAGGAGATCCATGTTGCAGCTCTGGTGGTCAGAGAGAGAGAATTCACCTTCCTCTGTTTTTTTTTTCTTCTCAGGCCCTTAGTGGAGTGGATGATGTCCATCCTCATTCATGAGGACCTCTTATTTTATTTGGTCCACCAATTCAAATGCTAATCCCTTCAGGAACACCACCACAGATACATGCAGAAACAGTGTTTAATCAGCTACCTGGGTGTCCGGTGACCCGGTCAAATTGACCATCATACTACCTCTGTTTTCCTTGCTAGGCTCTTCTTCCTCCTTAGTCTGCGCAGATGATGTGGTGGGGCTGACCCTACCACTCCCCGCTCTGAGTTCCAGGGGAAAGCTGGGTCAACACCCAGGCCTGGATGGTCAGCTGCTCCATCCCTTGGCTACCTTGATGGGGTCCAAGAAGGGCAGGTGGCCAAGCTGATCTGATAAGGGCCAGTGATGGCATTCTTTCTCAGGATATGATGAGAGCCA